GCATTAGAGTCAGGGGAAGAGGGCCAACAGGGCAGATGTTGTAGTAGAAGTCTACTTATAGGCCACCCAACCAGGACAGAGAGGTAGATTAAATATTCTATAGGCATTTAGGAAAAGTCTTACAATCGCTTGCCCTTGTTCTTGTGGGAAACTTTTAACTTCCCAGACATCTGCTGGAAATACAGTAGAACAGAGAGGGAGCAGTCCTGGAAATTACTGGAATGTGTGGGAGAAATCCTGATGCAGCTGGAGAGTGAACTGACCAGAGAAGGTGCCCTGCTGGATCTCCTCTTTGTGAACAGAGAAGGACTGGTGGAGGATGTGGTGTTAGAGGCTGACTAGCGCACAGCGATCATGAAGTAATAAAGTTTTCGATTCTTAGAGGGGGCAGCAGAACTGACATCCTGGACTTCCAAAGGGCTGACTTTATCTTGTTTGGGCACCTGCTTGACAAGATCTCCTGGAAGAGGTCCTGAAGGGTATAGGGGTCCAGGAAGGCTGGGCACTCTTTAAGAAGGAAGTGTTAATGGCTCAGGAGCAGGTGGTCCCCAGGTGCTGTAAGATGCCGATGCCAGAGAAGACCACTCTGGCTGAACAGGGAGCTTTGGCTGCAGCTCAAGGAGAAAATGAGAGTTTACAGGCTTTGGAAGAAGGGATTTGTCACTCACAGTGATTACGAAGAGGCTGTGAGGCTATGCAGGGTGGAAATCAGGGGGTCTAAAGCCCAGCTGGAAATTAATTTGGCCTCAGCAATCAAGGACAACAAGAAAAGTTTCTATAAGTATGTCAGTAGCAAAAGTCCAGGGAGAGTCTCCATCCCCTGCTAGATGCAGGAGGAAGCATGTTAACAAGTGATGAGGAGAAGGCTGAGGTGCTTAATGCCTTCTTTGCCTCAGTCTTTAATAACAAGACTAGTTGCACTGAGGGAATCCAGCCTCGTCAGCCAGAAGACAGAGACTGGGAGAATGACCCCCCCACAATACAGGAGGAGACAGTCAGTGACCTGCTGCATCGCACAGACACACACAAGTCTATGGGACCAGATGGGATACACCCGAGGGTGCTGAAGGAGCTGGCTGGGGTGCTCGCCAGGCTGCTTTCCATCATTTACCAGCAGTCCTGGCTGACCGGGGAGATCCTGACTGATTGGAAATTGGCCAATGTGATGCCCTTCTATAAGAAGGATCGGAAGGATGATCTGGAAAATTACAGGCCTGACAGCTAGATTTCAGTGTCCGGGAAGCTGATGGAGCAGCTCATCCTGAGTACCATCACACAACACATGTGGGACAACCAGATGCTCAGGCCCAGTCAGCATGGGTTTATGAAAGGCAAGTCCTGCTTGACAAACCTGATTTCCTGCAACAGGGTGACCTGCTTATTGGATGAGGGAAAGGCTGTGGATATGTGGTGGTTGAAGCCCTGCCGGGACTGGAGACAGTGTTGCTGTTGTTATTGCCCCTCCCCCACCCTCAGCCGGTCAGGCTGGAAGTGAGGCACAAACCCTGGGTTAAAATAAGAAGAAATTTAATACAACAATGTGATAAACAATCTGAACAAATCCAGTGGCAATTATAACAACAGTAAAGAGCAATAACAGTGAACAAGACAAAAGATACACAGAGAAATACTGCAAATGGTCACAGAACAGCTCCCTGCCACCAAGACTGCCAAGGAAAAAGACGAAAAACGTTCCTGCACTGGACCTGACATCAGAATGGTATGAATAACCTGGCTGGAGATCCCTTCCCCTTCTCTCTCTTTGCTGGGGAAAATTAACCCTATCCTAGCTGAACCAGGACAGGATGTTGTCTTCCTTGACTTTAGCAAGGCCTTTGAAACCGTTTCCCACAGCATTCTTCTGGCAAAAATGACTGCTTGCAATTTGGATTACCATATGCTTTGCTGGGTGAAAAACTGGATGGCTGGGCCCACAGAGTTGTGGTGAAAGGAGTTAAATCCAGTTGGCAGATGGTCACGAGTGGTGTCACCCAGGGCTCTGATTTGGGGCCACTCCTGTTTAACATCTGTATTGATGATCTAGAGGAGGGGATCAAGTGCATCATCAGTCAGTTTGCAGATGACCCCAAGTTGGGTGGGAGTGTTGATCTGCTCGAGGGTAGGGAAGCTCTGGAGAGAGATCTGGACAGGCTGGAGCCATGGACTGAGGCCAACTGTAGGAGTTTCCATAAGGCCAAATGCCGGGGGCTGTCCTTGGGCCACAACAACCCCCAGCAGGGCTACCGCCTTGGGGAGGAGTGGCTGGAGAGCAGCCAGCAGTGTGCCCAGGTGGCCAAGGAGGCCAGTAGCATCCTGGCTTGTGTCAGCAATAGTGTGGCCAGCAGGGACAGGGAAGGGATCTTACCCCTGTACTCAGCACTGGTGAGGCTGCAGCTCGATTCCTGTGTTCAGTTTTGGGCCCCTCACTCCAAAAAGGACATTGAATGACTCAAGCGTGTCCAGAGAAGGGCAACGGAGCTGGTGCAGGGTCTGGAGCACAGGTCGTACGGGGAGCGGCTGAGGGAACTGGGGGTGTTTAGTCTGGAGAAGAGGAGGCTGAGGGGAGACCTCATCGCCCTCTACAGCTCCCTGAAAGGAGGTTGCAGAGAGCTGGGGCTGAGTCTCTTGAACCAAGTAACAAGCAGTAGAGCAAGAGTTAATGGGCGTCAAGTTGCACCCGGGAAGGTTTAGACTGGATATTAGGCAGCATTTCTTTGCAGAAGGGGTTGTTAGGTGTTGGAATGGGCTGCCCAGGGCAGTGGTGGAGTCCCCATCTCTGGAGGTGTTTAATAGTCAAGTCCGTTGTGCAGGTTTAAGCCTTGCCGGGACCGGAGAGCACATTGTCTTTGCCCTTCCCCCACCCTCTGCCGGTCGGGCTGGAAAGTTAAACACAGACCCCGGCTAAAATAAGAAGAAAATTTAATACAACAGTGTGATAAAACACAGGACTCTATCCTAGCTGAACCAGGACATCCACATAGCACTCTTAGAAATGGTGTAGTTGGGAACCGTTAATGTTGAGTTGATGGTTGGGCTGGATGATCTTCACGGTCTTTTCCAACTTAGACAGTTCTGTGATTCTGAGCTTCTGTGTATTTAATAAGTATGAATCTTTTTGTTATCTGAAGTCAGTACATGTATAGTATATGTTTTGCTTCTGAATTTCCCATATTTAAGGTTGTGTAAAGAACACATTTTTGGCAGAATGTATTAGCAGAAATTCTTTACCTTTACTTTAGTTGTAATTTATTTCTATACAGTGTTCAAGTTTTAAGATAGATCACAGACATACTTGCATTCTGATGGCACGATTTGAGTTTCATTAGCTAAATACTTTAGTACAAAGAGTGAACTGCACAGAAGATCAGAACCTGGAAAAAAAAACCCTAAAGTGTATGAAAATAAGTAGAGGCTATTTAGATCAGTAGACTATACAAATGCACACTTACCTCAAACATGAGCTGAATATTTCAAGGCTACTGCGTACTAACCCACCATATTTCTGTTACAGACTAGGAATATAGCCGCAACGTGTGCACTCTAATGCCAACAGAAGAGTGATTTAAAAAAGCCTACCAGAAATGCAAATAAGGAATTTTCAGGAGACTTCTGTCTCAACTTTTAAAAGACATATCTGATGACTATGAATGGACAGAGAACATTTAGAAAAGAAGGTTTCATTTGTGAATGTGGAAACTTGCTCACTGTAATAGAAACTGATGATATGATGGGCGGTTTACTAGAATTTGCAGGGCTAATGATGTAAGAAATCTTAAGGGAGGTGGGATTTTTACAGGAGCTTTCTGTTTATAATTTGCGTATCAATTTAGTGGGAGGCTGAAAAGTTACTCTACCTGAATCTGTAGTATGTATAATATTTTATAAAGGACAAGATAGTTTTAAATTGTGTTATTTTAAAAGCAGTCAACCACATAAAAGACTTTTTTATGTTGGGAGGGGACCAGGAGAGTTTGTCTCCATCTCATTCTTTTTCCTCCAGTGGAGTGCTCAAATTTGAAGCTAAGCATAATTTTCACCTAGTTGAACTGTAATAGTTAAATATTTTAATTGTGATGTCCAATGCTTGCTTTCTTATTTTCTGTGAATAGTGTTTCAAACAGGTGGCACTAGTGCTTACTAGAAATTTCTCCACATGGTGTTAGGATTGCGAGTGCCTTTATTTACAAGGCTGCAATGTCATGTTGATGAGAGAACCTACATGTAAATGAGATACTTATAAGATAGATGGCTTCATGTTGTATGTTGAAGGCATTGTTTTATTTTTGGCTTTGGGAATCCTAACCAGAGGATCAGAGGGATTAATGTAGAACTTCAGGATAAAGACTGAAGATAGCATTAACAGCTTGTCTGGTTATACACATGTGCTTGACAAAACATCCAGCTCCCTCAGAACATACTGGCACTCTCAAAGGCTCCAGCTGAGTGGCCTGTTTTGATAGATTGTGTTTTCTGTTGTATAAAATTATTGCTTCAAAACATGTGAATAAAAAGGGTTGGCAGACAGAGAGAAAAAGCTCTAGTGTCGAGACAAACAAAGCCAATGTGTAGTCAGTTTAGTCTGACAGATCTGAAGTTTCCTGGGTCAGTCCTCATGTCCTTCTTATACGTTGGAGCAACACTGGCTAGCTTCCAGTCAGCGGGGACCCCCAGAGACCCCCAAGGCATTTGCTAGATGAGCGAGAGGAGTCCTGCCATAACAATGAAAAAAACCCACTGTTTAATTCCTTCAGTCAATAATATCAAGCATTTTGATTTGTATAACTGCCTGGCATCCTTGGTATTTAATCAGATCTTGAATATTTTGACTTGTCATCAAAGCATTTCATATAGTCCATAGATGCCAAAACAGCTATTTTTTTAAAAAGTATTCATGTTTGGGGTTTTAAAACTATTTTAAACTATTTTTTCAACTTTTACTGTAAAGGATTTTGGACTATAATTTGATTACGGTTTGTGTAACTGTGTTTCTTCTCTTGCAGGAAACACAGCATTACATGACTGTGCAGAATCTGGAAGTTTGGAGATCATGAAGATGCTTCTCAAGTATTGTGCTAAAATGGAAAAGGATGGTTATGGAATGACTCCCCTTCTGTCAGCTAGTGTGACAGGCCACACAAATATTGTGGACTTTCTCACTCAGCATGTACAGACCAGTAAAGCTGAGCGCGTAAATGCTCTGGAACTTCTAGGAGCAACGTTTGTGGACAAAAAGAGAGATCTGCTTGGTGCTTTGAAATACTGGATGAGAGCTATGGAAATGAGGTACAGTGATAGGACTAATATTCTGAGCAAACCTGTGCCACAAGCACTAATTATGGCATATGGTTATGCTAAAGAGGTGAACAGCTCAGAAGAGCTAGAAAATCTTATTGCAGACCCTGATGAAATGAGAATGCAAGCTCTGTTAATCAGAGAACGCATTCTTGGCCCTTCTCATCCAGATACATCCTACTATATTAGATATAGAGGTGCTGTCTACGCAGACTCTGGAAACTTCAAGCGTTGCATCAACTTATGGAAATATGCTTTGGACTTGCAGCAGAACAATCTTGATCCACTGAGCCCTATGACAGCCAGCAGTTTACTATCATTTGCTGAACTTTTCTCCTTCATGCTGCAGGATAGGGCAAAAGGACTGCTAGGCACCACTGTCACATTTGATGATCTCATGGGTATACTGTGCAAAAGTGTTCTTGAAATAGAACGAGCCATGAAACAAACCCAGTGTCCTCCTGATCCAATACAGCTGAACAAAGCCCTTTCCATCATTTTGCATTTAATTTGCTTGCTGGAGAAAGTACCTTGCAGCTCAGAACAGGAGCATTTTAAGAAACAGACTATTTACAAGTTTCTTAAGCTTCAGCCTAGAGGGAAGAATAACTTCAGTCCGCTTCACCTTGCTGTTGACAATAGTACTACATGTGTGGGTCGCTACCCAGTATGTAAATTCCCATCTCTACAAGTTACTGCTATCCTGGTGGAATGTGGTGCTGATGTAAATGTCAGAGACTCTGATAACAACAGTCCGTTACACATTGCTGCACTGAACAACCATCCAGACATAATGAATCTTCTTATCAAGTCAGGTTCACACTTTGATGCCACAAACTCACATAAACAAACTGCTAGTGATATGCTGGATGAGAAGGAAATAGCAAAAAATTTAATCCAGCCCATAAATCATACTACGTTGCAGTGTCTTGCTGCTCGTGTAATAGTGAATCATAACATATGTTATGCAGGGCACATCCCTGAAAAACTAGGGAACTTTGTTTTGCTCCATAGATGATAGTGTGGAGTCCCAGAGTACTGGTTTTGAAGCACGATTCAGCGACAATATTTTTCTTGAGCACTGTTGTGATACACCAGCGTTCCCTTAGCTTGCTCCATCTTGCTCTCATTGGCTAAAGCGTTGCTAGCATCAGATCTGCAGAGTTGGTTACCCAGTATTTAATATGAATATGCCATATAATATATTTCGTGGATTATTTAGAAATGTAATGCCATATTTAGACTCCTAAAATTGTTTGCCAAAGGCTTGTCTCTTCTGGTTTTATTTGCCTGTTGGGTGTTTGGGACTGAGTTGAGTATTTTCCACTGATGTCTTTTTACTATAACTCTTATGTGGATTTTATACAGTTGGAATGTCATCCTTTTTTGGTTTAGCTTGAGCATTTCTACTCTTACTCTGTTCTTTTTCTATGGACTCATTGCTAAATTGTACAAGTTGTATGGACTTGTTAACATTTGCAACTACCATAAGTGCTTTTATCTTCTCTATGCACTGGCTTAAACATGACTGTTGTGTGTGAGCATTTTTCTATGCAGCACTTTGTCAATTTCAACTTAAATGCCAATATTGTTTTGCAGTTTGGAGCTCTTTAGAGAATGCCGTCTTCATAGCATGGTAAATATTGGAGTTACTTATCATCTCTCCAAACTTGGGTTTGACTTTTTTGATGGCTGTAACTGAGATTGCTTCCCTTTCGATCCTCTGGAAGTTTGTCTTAAATTTGGGAGAAGAAAATCTCACTGTTTCTCATTGTAGTCCACTTGAACTTTAAATCAAAATCGTTTTATTGCGTTGGGCAGTTAGGGGAAGAGTTCTTACTATGTACAACTGACACCTTCCGCTTTGCACTAATGTCTTGCTTGTGCTGGTTTTGTGACTAGATGTGAAGTTTGCTCAAAGTTTAACCTCAAATTTAATGATACACTTTAATGGGAAATAGATCAAATATATTCTGTAGTTTAAAATTTACAAATCAACTTTAGCTACAAAAGAAACTAAAGCATGTTGGTGGCATGATGCTTATCAGTCTGGATCTAGACATCATCTAATATAGTAAGTGGCTGTATGCCAGGGTATTGGAAGTTCTATAGCAGTGTCCTTTCTTCTTCATTTTAAGTATCTTTATAAATACTTGCATGGGTTTTTCATCTCAACTGTGTCAGATGTACTTAACAGAAAGCAAAAGTTCTGTTGTGTATATATAATTCCTAATTAAAGTACCTATTTTTATAATATTTGCACAACAGCTTAGCTTTTACAACAGAAAGGGCTCTTTTGACTTGATAAGAAATCTATAAATGAAGATCATAAATATGAGTGCGATTCAGGTAATTAATATAATTCAGCACTTTACTGTTCATTAATAGTAGAATTTATTATGGCACATCAGCCCTGAAAATGTCTTAAAGAGAAATTAATTTCTGTTGGGATAGAATACAGTTTACTTGCAAGTTTAGTGGTCTAGTGTATTGGATATTTTTTACTTGTTTCATTTCAGTGGTGAGCAGTAAGTGTACCTATGGAGTTCTTTCTCCAGAAATTCAACAAGCTGATTTAGGCCTTTTGTCAGTGATAGAGATACTTAGAAGCCAAATTAATTAGATGAAGTTGTTTTAGGAGGATCTTTTCTAATATTTTATTTTTTAAGCTGATTGGAACGTTTTTGTCATTTGTGAATTCAGTTGAGGAAGAATGTGTCTTGGGAGCATATAAGAATATTTCTTCCTTGCTTTTGGGCTGTTTTGGTGTTCCTGTTAGTGTACAGCATGGTGCCTACTACCTTAGCCATTCTTGGAAAAAATATGGGGATGTTTTCAAACATAGGTGTGTTGAAAGCAGTGCTGTTTATGTATTGCCATTTTCAGGCTCTGTATTCTGAAGCAACTTTAACCTCTTTGTCCTGTGACATGTCTACATTGTATGAAATTGAGAGAATGAGGAAACCCTGTTACCTTCTCTTGCAGACACACAGAAGTAAAATTATATTCAATTGGCTGAATTTTTCTGATTTGTAATGATTAAAATACATCTCACCCAAGTTGTCATTTGTGAGAACATGTAGTTTGATTTTTTGAAAATTTTATGTTTATGCCTTTCTACTACTCTCTAGGTAGGTATAATCAGCAAATCACATCACACTAGAAATGATCCACATTATACTTCAAGTGATAAAAATAATTCTTTCTCTACAGGTCATAGAGAAAGAGATTTTTCAAGTTTTATATTTGAAATTTATGTGAAATCTGTACTGCTCTTTACTGTTTGTAGTTTAAATTTCTGTCTTTTAAACTGTTAAATATCCTGTTGGACATTGTTAGTCCAGAAATACAATCTAAAAATTGTTAGTTGTTAGCAAATTTTCAAATGGAAAACATTCCCAAAAGAGAAAACATATCACTGTTAAGTATATGTAAATTAGTGGAAATTGCTGCAAGGAGGACTTACTCTGTTACGAACTCTTTCAAAACAAACCAATTTAATAGGATGTATGGATTTATTGTATGTAGTTCTGTCCAGTGTGCATAATTCTCAAATACTATTACCTCCATGCAGAAGTTAATATTTCTTGGGGATGAGTCTATCTGCTGAACTCTTACATTAGCAGGTACTTGGACTTGGGTATCCAGGTGGATGAGTTCATGCATTTAATACCACTTTCCATTTAGCTCTGTATGTTTACATTACCCTGTTTAATTTTTCTTAAATTTGAAATAAATTGGTACAGAGCCAGTGGTTGGTAATGTGTTAGGGATTAGTTCAAGATTCGTTGATTAGGAGAGAGGGTTGGGACAGCAGGGCCTCTCTGAGATGCATATGCCACTAAGGCCAGTGCTAATGGGTGGCAGTATTTTGTCCCCTTGGCCCCTGATTAGTGTGGAGTTTTGTCTCCACACCAGTTTTGCCTCCACTTCATTATAGATAACTTTCTGGACCAGATTTTTTTTCTTAGTTCTTTTGTTAATATTCAGAGATGGGGATAAGTTTTGTTTTTGTGAAACATGTTGATGCTAAATGCAGTAGTGTTGCTAGCTGGGCTCAGACTGTTGTAAGGACAAGAAACTACAGAGCCTTCAGAACACAAAGAAATCTTTTTGTCATATTTTTAACTCATTCTTTTCCTGTTCTTCTCTTTTCTTCCTATTTGGGCTTTTTTTCTGATGAAAATAGCTTCTGAGCCAATAAAGCAGAAGAATACTTAAAACACTGCAGAAAAAATTATATGTCTTGCAGAGGTGAAACAGGTTTTATAATTATACAATTTACAGGTATGGCTCCCTAGGGAGAGACACTGATATCTCCTTGCTTGAGACCTCTGCAATTGTGTTTTTTGGGGCAGGGGTTAAATGCTTAAAGCTATTTTTCTCAGGTTAGAAGATCTTGGGTTTCATCTGAAATACTTCAACCAGGAAGAGGAGGAGCATTCTCATAAAAAAATTAAATGCTTTTCTTAACAAATTCTAAAATTGTATTCGTATTTTTGTATCACTTATGTTGGTAAGCAAGATTCCAGCTGCCTGTAGTGTCTCTGTTCTGCTTGTTAAGTGCAGTGTAAAGACACTTTCTGAAATGCAAGGCAACAGTGTGATTAGTTTTCCATATATACTTACAACAGTCCCTGGATAGGAAGTAATTTTGTGTATTTCCTAAGTACCCAAAGAGTTCTCTTTAAACATCGTTTCAAAACTGGTTAAAATTAATCACTTTCTGTTTTTGTAAAACACTAGTTTAAAAAGTGGATAGAGTGCTATAGCAAAATCCTTACAGGAGAATTTATAAAAAGATAAAAACCGTATGAGGAAATGTGCCTCTTATAAGGTTTTTATCAACTGCAAGGTGACAGTTGGCAGGATATGACTGCTATTGAACTAAAGTGGAATAAAATGGAATGCTTGTTATACTCTTAAGATGTTGACAAATGTGATTAAGTAGACTAAACACTAATTTCTGTCTTCTGTGACTACAGTGAAGCCAACTGGTGTTTAATGCTTCAAGGTAATTTGGGGGGGAATTGATTAGACCACTCATATCTCTTGGCTTTGAGTTTGGAAGTAACTGTTGAGCCCTCAGTGAGGGCAGAATAAAAAGTTGTTGTTAGTTTGGTTTAACTAATGTATTTGTGTTCCATTCTATCACAAAGACTTACTTCCTATGCAGGGCTAGCGCTGTGTATGGAAATACTGCAGTTTCTTTTTTACATGAAGTAATTTAGAAGGAATGAAAAAGGAATAACAAACATATTTCTCTGTTCTTACTGTTTAGGTTCCAAATGGAGATTACATTAAAAATATGTTTTGGAGAACACCTGTCTGAGTCTATATATCTGTTTACTTTAGGGTTACTGCAAGACTGGTTGGTAAACTGCTTTTTCTGTTCAGTATAAATATATGTGAGTGCTGAAACTTTAGACTTTGATCTTCATGTCATTAAGAATTGTACCTTAAAAAAAAAGTAATTTTTCATTCTCTTTTCTTTCTGTGAAGTAGTGGTCCAGGCAAGCCTTTAAATTCTTAGTGTGTAATAGTAAAGAAAAGGCTTAAATTGCATAATACAGGAGACATTATTTTCCCAGTTTCTAGAAAATGCAGTTAGTCATGCTATTAACTCTGTGAAAACAGTAATTTTAGTTTATAGCATAAAAGTTGTTAGCAAGACCTGGTAAGAAGTAAGCAACAGACACTTTTCAGGAAAGTTGAACAAAGTAATTTTCTCCTTAAAACTTTCGAAGTCTCTTCCTTATTGCATGAACAATTTAAAAAAAATAGAGGAATAGAATACTCCAAGGGTGAGAGAAGTAGTATGAGAAGATCCTTATTAAAGGCAGCTAGAGAACAGAAGACTTTGAAGAGCATTGCTGTTGTAATTTCAAAAGATTTTTATGGTTAGGCACAGTAGTCACAGTCCTATACTTAAAGGCAGTGTATACTTCAGACAGCTGAAATTTTAGATTTAGGCCTAATCAGTAACAAAAAGCATCAAAAAAGCTGAGGTTCTGGATGAGGAAAACTGTTCCAGAGCTTTCACAGTAAGATAATTGTCACACAGATGGCTTTAATGGATTGAATATAGATTCCTTTAATTAGGAAAGGAAAGAACCGGAAAGGATCATTTACATAGTTATTCATCCCTCTGCAGTTGCAGATGAAAGATGTTTTCATCTAGAAGTGTCTGCTGGCTACCTAAACTATATACTCATGCAAAAGTGCTTCTTGGCAGTATGGTGGCTGGCAGATGAAGATCAAAACTCACTGTAAAAAGAGAGGGCGAAAGAGGTCAAGTGTATACTTGCCAGAGTGTATACTCTGACAATACTTTTTTTTGTTTCCCACATGATATTCAGAGGGCTGAATATACTACCTATGGTGAAAAGCAGGAAGCCCTTCCACCTCCCACCAAATCAAAGCCTTATCTTGCAGTTGATCTCCAATGTTTGGAAGAATTGAGGAGAGAGTTTTTATACTTTGAAAGATGTTATGGACAACAAGGCGGAATTAGGCACTCAGCAGGAAGAAGCATTTCTCTGATCTCTACAAGTGCCTGTCAGAAGCCACCGAGTGTGAGGCTATGATGTAAATGGCAACCACGTATTCCATCAGATTGTAGCATGTGGGTTCCTAGCTAAAGTTCAAAGGGTTGCTTCTATCATACCTCCTGAAGATTTATAAAATCATAAATTCCTTGCCTAATTTCTCTTTAGAAAGCTATTTGGAACTCCAGTCCTTGAGTAATTAGGCACTTAATTCCCATTAGATGTTTATTTTTTCACAGTTTTGTATGTTTCATCTTTTCATAGTTTCAGCACTTGTCTGTCCTTCAGTTATCCTCTCTAAGCCTTCATGTGGTTAGGCTAAACCAACCAAACAAAAAAAACCCCAAGCTGTAAGCAAAGAATAGAGAATAATCCAGAGTCAAGTAAGCTGACCTAATGGTTCAGTTCTCCCTTTTCCACTCCCTTGCATTTACGTTAAAAAAAAAAATAAAAATTACTGATTCACTAAACATTTTTTGCTGCTGAACCTGCAATTTAACTTGCCAATTCTTTCCTTGTTACAATGGGAGGGGGTTTTTACAGTAAACATACTCAATTTTTTCTTTTCAAATACTTTAGCTTGTATTATCCTATTCTAATTTTTGTCAGATGTCATTTTGTTCTATTCACACAGTTATCTAAATGGAAAGTGAGACAAAATGTTCAGTCTGGATGAGCCAGATTTGGATTATTTTTTATTTCCATCCTGTAGCTTCAGAAGAGTAAACCTGCTTTTTGTCATTTTCTTTCTTTTTGCATGTGTAGCTACCAGGCTCACACTATACATTTATTTGCTAGCCTGTAAGAGTAGGAGTTCTCCTAGGCTCTTTCTCTGTTTTTCTGGCTTTGCTAGTTGAGGGAAGTATGTCACCTTTATCATGC